TATTAATAAATGGGCAAAGTTCAGTGCTTGATGTTTGAATAATTATTATGGTCTTCAGGGAGCTGTCCATGTAAAAATGTGCCAATCTAAATAATTAACAGCAGTATGATTATGGGAAGCATAGTTCACTATGTGTTCCACACTCTGTAGCCTTTATAGCTGTCATACGGCAGCTTAGAAATAATGAGCATTCAGTATGGGGACATTGTGTGGGACAGCATGGCATATAGCCACCTGCCCAGATGCTAGCAGCAGCGTTAAAAGTCCGCTGTCCGAGTCACTCGTCACCATGACATCCCATAAAGCTGTCACCAGGGAGACAAACTGTCTATGCCCTGAGCTATGTGACCAAGACGTGTCTGTTTGTAAATTAGTTCACGTGTGTGGTTAACTGTGCCTCCCTCTGGAAAGACTGCCTTGAACTCGGCTAAGCACCGCTGAGTTCACCATCCCCACACCAACCACCCTACCTACTGACAGTCATCAGGACTGTCTCAGAAAAATAACCAAAATACATAACTTAGATTTAATTCACTCCTGTGGGAAGAATGTGTGTAGGCAGACACCATCAAAGTCACTTGAGTACACAACTAAATTTCATGTTATTAGAATAATAATTGAATTACTATTTCATAATAGGTAGCTTTTTCACTATAAGAACTGAAACAAATAATTTCCACATCTCTGCGACCAATACAGCAAATAATCAGATCAAGGCAGTTGATATAGCTGGTCCAAACAGGATGGCCATTGTTGTGCCTTTAGACAGTCTCATTTATAGTATTGCACTTACTTCCTCGCCTCCACACACCTGTGATGATTTTAGTTGAGCTTGTACCTTGTTTATTGTCTATGTCTGCTGTTTATTTTATTTTTTTACTTTGCTACATAATTCACAATTCACAAAGCTCTTTGTCACAAATACATGGGAGTTATTTTGCTGTGTTGGTGGCTGAGTTGAAGTCAAGCCCACACAAGTCAAAACCGGGACCAGATAGTATACAAAGGTCACTAATATGTATAACTAATATTTGCATCTCTTTGGGTGAGGGGTGAAAAGATTTTGGTACAGAGGCAGATTGATAATGTTAGCAAGCTAGCTTAGCTAGTATCACTTACACTTAGCTTACCTTTCTTTATGTGCTAACTAAGTTTGACATCTCTTTTCAGAACAAAAAATTCTGCAACCAAGTTATTGTTTTTTTTTGGCATTTGAAGCAGGAAGTTTTACATCCATTCACAGTAATAACATTCACATTTTAGTGATATCCCTGCAGTTGTGGTCTTGACAGGTCTTGAAATAAAATCCTTAGACCAAGAAAAAATAGTGAACAGGTTGCTGAGACGAGACCAAGACCTTCAAAGTGGTCTTCAACTTGAGACCCGTCCTGAGACAAAGACTGATCTCAAGTACTACAACACATGAGCGGAGGTCCATGAAACACACTTACTGTAACGTGCAAACTCATCCAAACCTACACCTACCTTGATCACCATAAGGTCAAAGCCAGTCATTATACAGTAGAGCTCCTGAATGCAGAGCAGAGCAATGTGCCACACCTGACTGCCAAACAGTCACCTTAAACCAAAGACTGCTGCTCAGTAGTAAGATGTGGCTTGACCTGAATTATCATCCCCATTCTCTCTCTCTCTCTCTTGTTGTGGCTTATAGTCTCTCCTTACTCTCTTGATCACCCCTTTTCCCCCCACCGTGTATTTAGCGGGCAACCAGACATTCTTGACATTTTGCAAAGGTTGAAAGACAAAGAACCTTTGTCTCCTAATAAGGCCATGCTCTATACCCCACCTGAATGAGAAAACTGTTAGAGAGAGGGGCGGCATGGGTGAGGAGGTGGAGGTGCAGGGGGATGCAGCGTATATAGGGATACATATGGGAGCGTTAAAATGCAGATGAGGATTGGGAATGGGTGGGTAGGACAGGAAAAGGAAGGAAAGTTTTACCTAGGAGGGGGCGTGAAGGTTTGTGTGTGCATGTGTGTATGCATGCAGGTAAAAGGTGTGGGAGGAGTAAGAAAGAAAGAAAGAAGGTAAAAGTGAACGTTGTTATGATCAATTCCCCATCTGTAAGTTGAGAGTGATAACAGTTAGATTTCAGAGGCTAATGTAAGCTGTGTGAAACAAGCCAGTGCACCCTGATGCTTCGCCCGCAGTCACACAGACAGACACGGATGCTCTACAAGAGAGCGATATTCTCTATCACTGCTATAGCTTGAAGCGGAACTCACAACACCCAAGGTCCTTCTGGTCTCTTTTCATCTCTCTCTCTCATCCATCACACCCCTCAGCTCTACCTCTCACCTCCCTCATCGCCTCCCTCAATCTCTCTTGCACCTTATTCCTCCACAGTTTTCTCTGAAAAACTTGCTCCAAAACAGCTGAAGCGAGAGAAAAATAGTGTTCTAGCAGAGTGTAAGCAAGGACAGAGGTGCAATGAAACGGAGAGGTTTAAATAGTTAGAGCTCACAACCTGTTCGAGCCCCTTGCAACCTTTGGTTTAGTCGCATCTTGTTCCTCACTCTGCCAGTGTCACTTTGAGTTATGTCTACCTTATTCCTTCCAGTTAGCATACAGCTGTGGCCCCGTGTTATGCAATGTCCCCGGATTGTCTCATTTGCAGTTTTCAAGGCACTGCAATTTTGCGAAGGCGCAGAGTTAAAAGTGAGAACACAATAGTGTTTGTTTCTGTGTTTTGTCTCAACATTACATAAGCAAAAGGTAAAAATATCTGGACCTGTCTTTAAAAGCAGATGGTGTGGTTATGACATCAGGCTCGTTAAAGGCAGCTATAACTAGGAAGAGCCAAGGGTTGCTGTGAAGTACACTGCTTTTAATCCAGCTTCCGCTTACTAACAAGGAGAAGAAATGTTCAGTGTGTGTGTGTGTGTGTGTTAGAGAGAGAGAGAGAGAGAGAGAGATCAGCTATGAAACAAAAGTATGTGCTGCAAAAATCTTTAAATTCTCCTCTTATAGTCTCTTGTCTTTCTCTATATTAGTCTTCATCTATGCCCCCCTTCCTCCTGTTTCTCTCTCTGTCTGTGTGGGTATTCTGTCACTCACTGGAATGTGGGCAGATATGGGATCATATTCAGACTTCCAGATTCATTCTGCTAGCGACTCAGGAGCCAATATTAGCCACGCGGTCGTTGTTTTACCCATGAGCCCGTTGCCTTGGAAACGTTGCATAAGAGGGAGTGGGAAAGCGGGATGCCCCTTGCTGATTGGGAGACAAGGTGGCAGATCTCTCTTTCTCTCCCCTTATCTTCCCTGTATCTTCCTCTTGCATCTAGTTCTTTTCCCTCCACTCAACACTTCTTCTAATCGCATGTGTCAAAACACTAGCGCTCCAACTGTCCCCTCATGCCACGTGTTGATCAACTCATCACCCAGCACCGCTAAATAAAGCAGCAAAAGCAGTCAAAAGCAGCATATCTGTTACAGTTAGTCGGTCCCGCGCCCAAGCTTCAACTAAATTAAAGCTCCTGTTGGAACAGTGATTTATAGCCCAATTGGAAATGTTTGTCCACACAGTGCTCACACACCAGCACCTGCACACACACTTGCACACACACCGCTCCATGAGCTGGGCTGTCCTTGGCTGAAATCAGGGAGGATAGTGCTTTGTTGAATCCACTGAGACCACATGTTCCAGACTGCATGACTTGTCCCTCCATGGCTTCCATATGAGCAAAGCAACGCTGTGTCTACATACCAGGAGGATGAGAGGGAGACAGGGGAATGATGAGGGAGGACAGCGAGTGAGGAAAAGATGGCCTTGGCTCTTGAGACAGGACAATTTATCTTCTGTATCCTGACTGACTCCGACTATTTGCCAAGAAAAGAAAGAAAGAAACAGGATCAGATTAGACATTTAAACTCTAAACATTCATTTAAGAGTGAGGCCTGCAGTTTATCCAAAAATGTCCAAATAACATAACATGCTGCGTGACATACCTGTGTAGGCAAAACCAGAGAAGTGATAAGTGATCCGAACAAACCAGGGCTGCTGTAGTTTGCACACTTTCCGATAGAATAACCTCAAATTGAGTTTCTAGTGTAATTTGCATTTTTTCCAGCATGTAGCAAGCCAAGAAAAGAGCAGGGTGGGCAGCCCCTGTGTGAGGGAGCTGTCTTAATCCATGTGTTTAGCAAGCACCATCTGCTGCTTTTATTCAGATGGGAGTAGAAATATTTGGTTGATTAGGAGAGGATCTGTGTAGGATAGCCGCACCGTTACCACCGGTTACAAGGGACACACATGCTCAGTTCTGTCAACTGGTGTCTTGGAAAGCAAACAGAAGACAGACGCACAGACATCAACATGCAAGCGCTCCAATAAGTACACATGTGCATATGGGTGTGAATGTGCGACACGCGCACACTCTAAACACTCGACAAAAGTGTTCACAATAGCGTAACGCCATACACAGAGGCAGACATGTGGAGGCTCCCACAAGCTGAGCAGATTTGGAAGAATGCAAACACTTGCAGACAGATTAACAAGACATTTCTGCTCAGTGAGGTAATGGTAAAGAAACAGAACAATGCACAACAATATGACCTATGTTTGGTAATTGTCAGGATATACTTAACTCTGCTTTTTTATAGATACATGTTAAAGTTCCTTTGTGAGTTGTTTCTTTCCAATAAAAAATGCCACATGGTACAGATCTACCGAGACTGTATGATTTAGAGTCTTTGAGTTTAGCTCATTAAAATATGAATCTGTGACTACAGATAATTCAGGTTAAATCCACTAAATAATGCTGGCTGACCTGTTGCTTGTCCAAGCTTGGCTAGTTTCAGTTTATCACAGATTACATGCTTATGTAAAATACACTCTCTTTGTAGAGAATTACACAGAGAGAATTAGTTGTATGCTGTTTTGTTTACCAACATCTCATCAATTATTCATCATTATACCTTAAATACTTCCATTGCAAATGTTCATAGCAAAACTTGTTGTGTATTTCTATCTCCAGGTGCTGATCTCGGTGGTCTGATGGATCTAGAGTCCCTGTACCGCGGTGTGGAGCAGAGCATCAATCACACGCGAGCGGGGCGAATGCGCAGACAGAGCCTGGACAGGGCCTACAACATCGAGGTGCTGCTGGGCGTCGACGACTCTGTGGTCCAGTTTCACGGAAAGGAGCATGTACAGAAGTACCTGCTCACCCTCATGAACATAGTAAGTTGTTGGTGGCTCACACAGTTAGATACACTCTCGGAGGCACCTGTCAGGTAAACTGCTGACTTTTAAAGTTATTTTAGAGCTCAGGTATCACATCACACACACAGTATGCTGTACACACGTCATACCAAATGCCCCAAAATGATATTTGTTATCTTGCTTAAAAAAATCTTTAAATGGGAAAACTGGTCTATTTGCGTTAAATGGGAAGTAAGTCACAGAGAGGTCAAAGAAAGATGGTAAAAATCCCACACACACACACACACACACACACTTAACACACACCAACTGAATGAGGATTCAATTCCCTTCCTACATGTTCTCATCCAGCAATCAGCCGCGGGTAATCCTTTCTTCTCTATCTGAATATGATGAGATTTCATTTGTTTGAGTGTGTGTGTGTGTGTGTGTGTGTGTTAGGTGAGCCCTGTGCTCTGAAGGGGCTCCTACATATCATTTCATCAGGCTTTGTGTCATGTCATCATTCATTGTGTGTGTGCGTGTGTGTGCCAGAGAAAGAGAGAGAGAGAGAAAGAGAGAGAGAGATGCAGAAACAGCAGGCAGTATGCTCCAGGCCACAACAACACTTAGCCAAGCATTCAAACTCCCAGTTGTTTTTACGTGTGTGTGTGTGTGTGTGTGTGTGTGTGTGTGTACATGCGTTTGTGTGTTGGTGTGACACTGAACACATTGCAGACTTTAATCTTTGCAAATTAAACCTGTGGTGAGAGTGCTGTTTGCACGGGTTCGTGCGCGTGAACGTGCACATTTGTGTGTGCGCATCTGTTTGTGTGCGTGCCCCTGTTTGCTTTTGCTTGTATTGAGACCCACTGCGCAAGGAACCAATCTCCGACTGTTAAGCAGGTGCAAGCACACAGCAACAAATCCTACCACACCTCTTTGTCTCTGCTCAGCGCTTGAGAAAGAACAAGAGCCGCTGTGCTCTCTGCCTCCCCTTTTAGATATTTGTTAGACAATATAGGAGAAGGGGATTCGCAGCCCTGTCGCAGCCCCCGTCTAATCTGTGGGGAAGCGATGGAGAGACAGAGGGAGAAGGAGTATTTTAAACAGCGCATTCGGAATAAATTACTGACAGCCAGATAAACAGAAATAAATAAATAAGAGCTGCCTCCCACGCGTGGCATCTGGGCGACTTTCTTCTTGAAAGTTTGCTTTGCTCACTTCAGGATGGGTGTGTTCTCTCTCTCTCTCTCTTTCTGTTTTATTTCTTTCCCTCTCTGTCTTTCTCTGGTTCTCCCAGTCTCACAGCAGCACTGAGTCGCTCTACACTGCGCTCTTTTGCATTGTTACTCCTCCCTGACTTGGGTAGTTTATGGCAACAAATGCTCAACAATGTCAAAAAAAAACTTTCTAAGTATAATGTGAGAGATAACACCGGTTTATGAGAAGACATACAAGTTAAATTTAGGATAAGGAGAGAGATTGAGAATGTATATTTGTCACAGGTGTCCTCTAAAGGCATTCATACAGATGGACTGGTTTTTAAGTTATTGTAATAGTGTGGCACAAAGAAAGATAGAAAATACGTTTCTTCTCTTTATTTCCCTTTCCTGGAAAGAAGAAATTAAGAGGAAATAAGGGGCGTTGTTTTCATGATCCTCTCCTCTTCTACTCTAGTATTTTTCCTACTTCCACCTGTTCTTGTCTCCCTGAATTCCTTAATCCAGTTTTCCCCCTTACTTCCAGGCTGAATTGAGTGAATCTGATAGAAAGGCTTCTGTATGCGTGTGTAGTGATCTTGTGTCTTTTGTTGCAGCAGCTGTTACACCATTGTACAGCCACCTTCAAAGGATAAATAAAGCGCTCATGTTTCAGTACAAAAGGTTATTCTGTAAAACTACAATGTATGTGTCATTTCTCACGGTTTATTTTACCTCATCTATTGTTTTTATAATGACTTTATGTATTTTCCTTCTCTTCTTCTTGCCTATATGTCTGTCTTTCTGTCTGTCTGT